GAGGAGGCGGAGGGGGAGGAGGAGGAGGAGGAGAGAGAGGCGGAGGACGGGTCGCCTGAGCTCTTCAGAGAAACCCTCCATCTGGAGGAAGAAAGAACGGCACGAACTTACAGCCAGGCTGCTATATCAGAAGCCGTGAGATCCGGGCGTCGCATTTGTCCCGAGTCAGGAATGTCCCGATCCATTTTTTTTAAATCCCGAGTCGTCTTCTGACGGCCCCGAGGCCCAGTAAGGGCCCCCAGGGGCCGAAAACAGCGAAAGTCCTCCCGTCGTGCTTTTTTTCCATGGCCCGAGGGAGCCTGGGACTGGGAACTGACAGGCCCAACGGCGACTTCGGGTTGCGCTGGGGTGGTCTGGCGGGGCCGTCGGCGCAAGTGGGAGCGGCCGGGTTTGGGGGCTCGTCTCGGCCTCTGCGTGGGCCCTCCACGGCCCCCGGGATGGGCAACACATGGCTCGGGATCAAGGGCCGTCCTTGGGAACGCTGTCCAGCCCTCCACGGGGGTCCGCGCGTCGACGATCACGGGAGCGCCGACTGGTCTGGGCTGGAGACACTGGAGCTCCCCAGCTCGGCCCAGGGTCCCTCCTACCCTCTCTCTCCCTTTTAGTCGGGCCTGTCCCTCTACAGGAGGAATATTCACAAGAAGTCAAACAATAGTCTGGGGACGATGTTTTAGTATTTTTCGATCACTTTGTTTTTTATATAAAAGATTAAAAGTTTTCGTCCAACAATCTGCTTGTAGGCGGACACGCCCGACCTACCTCTACCTCTCCCTCTCTCCAGGACGCCACGCAGGTGTCCCCTCGCACTTCGCTGAGACACGGAAATGAGATGACCTCTCCGAGGCGCTGTGTAGCCTCTATACCGCATGCTCCTGCGCATGCCATGTCAAGTTGTACGTTTCGAGTTGCGGAGGCATTTGCCGATGCGCCGTCGAGGCGCGGCCTTCTCCTGTCCTGTCCAGCCTGGCCCAGGTCCGCTCATGAGTAGCCTGACGTCGGGCTTGTCCCTCTACATCAGGATCACTCAAGTCTGGGACAAGAAATAGTCTGGGGACGAATGTTTGACTACTTTTGCCTATTTCGGGGGGTATGTTTCAAGTATTTACCTAACAGCGAAGACTGATAGGTTTCTAGTTGACTCAAAAGAGCTCACAGATCACTCCACAGCGGGGTCCGGGCAGGCGTTGGGAGTTGCCGGCCGGGCCTGTGCCGGGCTCGTTTTTCACTAACAGTCACACACTTCGTGCTCGTCGACCTCTCAGAACCCCATTCCCAGGCCACATTCTGAATAACCGGATGCAACAGTCACACACTTCGTGCTCTTCGACTTCCCAGAACTCCATTCCCGGGCCACATTTTGGATGCCCGGAGCCAACTGTAGGCCACTTCGTGTCTTCGATTTCCCAGAACTCCATTCCCGGGCCACATTTTGAATGCCCGGAGCCAACTGTAGGCCACTTCGTGCTCTTCGAGTTCCCAGAACTCCATTCCCGGGCCACATTTTGGATGCCCGGAGCCAACTGTAGGCCACTTCGTGGTCTTCGAGTTCCCAGAACTCCATTCCCGGGCCAGATTTTGGATGCCCGGAGCCAACTGTAGGCCACTTCGTGGTCTTCGAGTTCCCAGAACTCCATTCCTGGGCATGAATTTGAATGCCCGGAGCCAACTGTAGGCCATTCCCGGGCCAGATTTTGGATGCCCGGAGCCAACTGTAGGCCACTTCGTGGTCTTCGAGTTCCCAGAACTCCATTCCTGGGCATGAATTTGAATGCCCGGAGCCAACTGTAGGCCACTTCGTGTTCTTCGAGTTCCCAGAACTACATTCCCGGGCCACATTTTGAATGCTGAGGCAGGCTGAGGCTGAGGCTGAGGCAGGCTGATGCTGAGGCAGGCTGAGGCTGAGGCTGAGGCTGATGCAGGCTGAGGCTGAGGCAGGCTGAGGCTGAGGCCGAGGCTGAAGGCAGACTGAGGCTGAGGCTGAAGCAGGCTGAGGCTGAGGCTGAGGCAGGCTGAGGCTGAGGCAGGCTGAGGCTGAGGCTGAGGCAGGCTGAGGCTGAGGCTGTGTCTGTGACTGCCGTTGCCACTGCGACTGTCATCGCGAATGCGACTACGACTGCGAGAACAGCAGAATTCTACAACTGGATTCTCATCTGAATCTTAAGGGGAATGCTTCCAGATATGCTCCTACACATCGCTGTTAGGTTGCTTTGCCGGGATAATTTTTAAATTAATTCTTCACGCTTCGCGTATCCCCACCAGCCCATCTCAAAACAGCAACTCTTGCGAAGCATGCTGACAGTCGTGTTTTTCAGGCGTGTTTCCGCCTGCCCCCGCATATTTCCGGGCCTCTCGTCCTGGTGTGAGTCGTTCGGGCCCTTCTTCCTGGTGTGAGTCGTTCGGGCTCTTCGTCGTGGTTTGAGTCGTTCGGGCTCTTCGTCCTGGCGTGAGTCGTTCGGGCTTCTCGTGGTGTGAGTTGTTCGGGCCCTTCGTCCTGGTGTGAGTCGTTCGGGCTCCTCCTCTTGGTGTGAGTCGATCGGGCTCCTCGTGGTGTGAGTCGTTGGGGTCTCTCGTCCTGGTGTGAGTCGTTCGGGCTCCTCGTTGGGCCTGTTGGGGGCCTCTTGGAGCTCTTGGGGCGTCTTGGGGGCCTCTTGGGGGCCTCTTGGGGGCGTCTTGGGGGCCTCTTGGAGCCTCTTGGGGCCTCTTGGGGGCCTCTTGGGAGCCTCTTGGGGACCTCGTGGGGCCTCTTGGGGGCCTCTTGGGGGCCTCCTGGAGGCCTCTTGGGAGACTCCTGGGGGCCTCTGGGGGCTATCTTGGGGCCTCTTGCGACCTCCTCAGAAGCGCAAATAAGCGCTGACCCCTGAGAAGGACAAAATGAGCCCAAAACCTTCGTAAAATCAATGATTTTGCTAAGAAGGACGAGGAACGCGGCCCCCTCAGAAGGCCAAAATGGAGCCAAAACCGTAGTAAAATCAATGTTTTTTGCTTCAACGACGAGCTGAGGCGCCAAACTGCCTCCCCCCCTCGGGGCCAGAATCCTCGTGAGGGTCGTCGTTTTTTGGCCCTCCCAGGCGTCGAAAAAGACTCCCCTGACGACGCTCGGGACTCCCTCTCCAGGTCCAGGGGGAGGGGGTAGGGGGAGGGGTAAACCCCTCCCCGAAGGGGAAGAAGGGGGGTTGAGGACAGAGCGGGCTCTCTAAACCACTCACGCCCAAAGGGCTGGTGGGATTTTTTCCGCCCAGAATCCCCCTGTATGGGGGACGTGCCCGACCTGAACGTAGCCCCCGAATCCCCCTCCTGAGGCTCGTCCTGGCCCGCCAAGGTGGAGGAGGAGGAGGAGGAGGAGGAGGAGGAGGAGGAGGAGGAGGAAGAGGAGGAGGAGGAAGAGGAGGAGGAAGAAAAAGAGGTGCAGGCCCCAGGGCTGGGCGCGGCGTGTCCCGGCCGTGGCGACGGCTGAGCTCGCAGGATGCCCCGGAGGCCCCCGGAGGCTCGACGGCGCGATAGCAGAGCCAGGCAATCACCTGCACGCAGGCCGCCCACGGGAGCCCCCAGGCCCCTGCGAGTCACCCTCGAGTCACGAGAGGTCAGGAGGAGGAGGAGGAGGAGGAGGAGGAGGAGGAGGAGGAGGAGGAGGAGGAGGAGGAGGAGGAGGAGGAGGAGGGAGGAGGAGGAGGAGGAGGAGGAGTAGGAGGAGGAGGAGATGGAGGAGGAGGAGGAGGAGGAGGAGGAGGAGGAGGAGGAGGAGGTGCGAGTCACGGAGAATCGCGACGGTCGAGTGTTGTTTTTTGCAAATTTCGGCTCCTGGGGGGCCCTGACGGGGCCTCGGGAGCCTCAAAGGGGGCGACTCGGGACGAGAAGCCGGTCCCAGGGACAGGGTCGAGGCCTTTGGGGGTCGACGCTACGGCAGAGGGAGAGAATTACTGAACACTCCCCCTCCCCCCAACCTCAATGTTGGCACGCGCGGGGGAGACTGCGGTCGAAGTGCATCTCATCAGACCCACCGCCAAACTTTGAACATTGGGGGAAGGGGAGCCGTTGACAGATGGATGTGGAATGAGTGTCCGCTAATTTGTTCCGAGGCCTGTGTTCGGGGCCGGAAAAGAGGGGGGTTATGACTAGGGGGTGTTGGATATCATGGCGTGGGCCATGATATTTCCCCAGATTCCATGGCGCCTCTTCTTATTTCATCACGTCCCTGGCCTCCCCGCTGGGCCGCGCACATGCCGCCGGTCATGAGTTGCACCCCCCTCTCTTGGACACCCCCCTCTTGGCCGCTCCCGATGTATGACAGATTCATGACGTCGTGGGTCTCGGGGCCCAGACGCCGTGCTCCGGCGGCATTTTTCGAGCCAGATCGATCCGCTCTGGCCCCGTGGCCCGACACCGGGCGAGTGCGGCCGGTGTGTAAGAGGAGCTGCGACGCCCCGCGCTCGGAGTGGCGACGAGAAGCCTATGTCGGGCCGGACGAGAGGGGGGGACTGGGAAAGGGGGGGAATAAGGGGCCACATGCGAACCCGACCCCTACCCCACACGATTTCTGAGGGGGAGGGTGGGGTTCACTTCGCTCGGGAGGTCCCGAACGAAGTGAGCCCCACCCTCTCCCTCAGAAATCGTGGGGGGTAGGGGTAGGGTTCGCATGTGGCCCCCCAGGGGTTACGAAATCTGCTACCTGCAGCTGGTCTCGGCCCCGCCGCCGGGCCCACTCCTCGATGCATGGGCGCCTCCCGGCGCCCGGATGCGCTGGGAAAATCAGCTATACGTGAGCTGATTCTCACCCCCCCCTGTGCTATCCCCCCCTTTCTCAGGAGGGAAAGAAACACACAGACACAATTGATCGTCGATTCCCCAGAAAACATGGGAAAATATGGGAAGCGGGGGGGAAGACAACAACCCAGAACATATGGGAAAATATGGGGAATCTTTTTATTTGTGTGTATTTATTTGTGTGTCCTGGGGCGCCTTCACTTTCGCCCGGCCCGACCCTGGGAAGCCCAGAAGGGACGAGGAACGCCATCGAGGGCCGCCGTTGTCTCGATGGAGCGGCTCTCCTCCGACGAGCTGCGCCTGTGCGTGGACCGCGCAGACGTGTACGGCTCCGCGCTGGCGCAGGTGCCTGGTGCGGCCAAGAGGCTGGGTAGTCGAAGGCCAGACTGTCAGACTGGATTGGGCCCCCAAGGGCCAATCTGGGCTGGCCATATCGGAGGATTCGGGTCATTCGCCAGACTGGATTCGCGTGGGCTCCCTCGCCAGATTGCCCCCCTTTGCCAGATTGGGCCTGCCAGATTGGCGCCAGATTGGCTTCGACTACCCAGAGAGGGGGGTGATGACTCGGGAGCGGGGGCGGATATCATGGGCAGGGCCATGATATCTCCCTTGATTGCGAAGGCCTTACGGCAGGTGCCGCCGACCCTGAATGGCGTCGACGACGACGAGCGCTCTCGGGGGCCTCTGGGGGGTAGTTTAGGGGCCTCTTGGGAACCTCTTAGGAGCCGCTCGGGAGCCTCGTGGGGGCCTGTTGGGGCTTCCTGGGGGTCTCTTGGGCGCCTCTTGGGGCCTGTTTCTTAGGGGCAGGGCAATGATATGTCCCCTGATTTCATGGTGCCTCTTCTTCTTCTTCTTCTTCTTCTTCTTCTTTTTCTTCTTCTGCTTTTTCTTCTTCTTATGCGCTCCCTGGCCCCCACCTGCGGCGCGCACGTGCCTCGGGCCATGATTCGAGCGAGGAAAAACCACTCGGACCCGATGCTTGGCGTTACTGAACGGCCCTGGGCGTTTACTGAACAGCCCTGCCCCGTTCGCGTTCCTTCTCCGGGCACGCTCACGAAACGACTTCGAGTGTGGTCGGGGTGGTTCTTCTGGGGGAGATTTTCTGACCTCTGATGATCTGCGATGCCCCCCCCCTCCTCGGACGCCCCCCTCTCGGGCGCCCCCGGAGGTGGCGCGGCTGCCGCCCGAGGAGCTGGCGCGCCCGCTGCAGGCGGGCCTCTTGTCGCGGGGGGCAGCTGCGCACCCCCCCGGGTGGGCTTCGGCAGCGGCTCCCCGTGGGAGCCTCGCACCCCGAGGCTCCCCCCCCCCCCTCGATGTGAGTCGGGCCTGTTCCTCTACAGGAGGAGCAATCTCAGGAGGGGAAAAAGCACACAGACACAATGAATCCTGGATTTCCCAGAAAACATGGGACATATGCGAAGTGGTGGGGTAGACAATATCAGAGAAGATATACGACAGTTTGGGGAATTCTTTTATTTGTGTGTATCTATTTGTGTGTCCCAGGCCCCCTTCACTGTTCCTCTACAGGAGGAACAAGCAGAAACATGACGAAGCACAGTCCTGTGGTGCTGGGTCCTCGTACCCCTAGACTTCGGTCGGGCATTTCCCCCCTATCGGAGGATTTTGGGCGAAACAGATACGAATAGTCGAGACGTGCTCCGACATAGTCAAAACATGTTCAAACAATCGTCCCCTGAGCATTTCTTGGCTATGCTTGATGAAGAAGAAGAAGATTCTTGGCTATGCTTGAATCTTCCTCCTGTAGAGGGACAGGCCCGACTTAACCGTAGACCCCCCGTCGATGCGCGGACACCCTGGAGGCCTGGACAGCTTTCCCAGGGACGGCTCTGCGAGGGACACCCGTGCGGCGATCCGGAGAGAGGGAGAGGGAGAGAGGGTGGGAGGGGCCTTGGGCCGAGCTGGGGAGCTCCAGTGCTTCCAGCCTAGACCAGTCGGCGCTCCAGTGATCGTCGACGCGCGGACCCCCGTGGATGTCTGGACAGCGTTCCCGAGGACGGCCCTTGATCCCGAGCCATGTGTTGCCCATCCCGGGGGCCGTGGAGGGCCCACGCAGAGGCCGCGACGAGCCCCCAAACCCCGGCCGCTCCCACTTGCGCCGACGGCCCCGCCAGACCACCCCAGCGCAACCCGAAGTCGCCGTTGGGCCTGTCAGTTCCCAGTCCCAGGCCCCCTCGGGCCATGTAACAGAAATCACGACGGGAGGCCTTTCGCTGTTTTCGGCCCCTGGGGGCCCTTACTGGGCCTCGGGGCCGTCAGAAGACGACTCGGGATGCGAAACCAGTCCTGGGGAATGGGTCGAGACCTCTATGGGGGGTCGACGTCATGAAATTATCCTGGCGGAAGACCCAACCATCTGCAGTTGTGAGTACCGCGTTTTGGGTACCGACCGCTTTCGATGGAGCTCTTCTGGTGGCCACGACACGTGTGAGGGGTGTGCCGCAACGGGTACAGTGGCGCCATGCGGGCGCTGCCACTGGGGCCTTCGGTGGAGCCCCCTATGGGGCCACGACGCGTGCGAGGGGTGTGCCGACTTGGGTGCGGTGGTGCCATGCGAGCGCAGCCACTGGGGCCTTCGGTGGGAATCCCTACGGGGCCACGAAACGTGCGAGGGGTGTGCCGAAGCAGGCGCGGTTGTGCCAAGCGGACGCTGCAATTGGGGCATTCGGTGGAGCTCCCCATGGGGCCACGAAACGTGTGAGGGGTTCGCCGAAACGGGTGCGGTGGTGCCATGCGGGCGCTGCCACTGGGGCCTTCGGTGGAGCTCCCCATGGGGCCACGAACCGTGCGAGGGGTGTGTTGAAATGGACGCGGTGGTGGCGGGCGCAGCCGCTGGGGCCTTCGGTGGAGCTGCCTACGGGGCCACCAAGCTTACGAGGGGTGTGCCGGAAAGGGCGTAGCGGTGTCGTGCGGGCGCTGCCACTGGGGGGTGGAGCTCCCCGGGGCCACAGAACGTGCGTGGGGTGTGCCGAAAAGGATGCGCTGGTGCCCTGCGGGCCCTGCCGCTGGGGCCCTCGGTGGGGCTCCCTCTGGGGCCACGAAACGTGTGAGGGGTGTGCCGAAATGGGGGCGGTGGTGTCATGCGGGCGCTTCCTTTGGGGCCTTCGGTGGAGCTCCCTGTGGGGCCACTAAACGTGCGAGGGGTGTGTTGAAATGGATGTGGTGCCATGCGGGCGCTGCCACTGGGGCCTTCGGTGGAGCTTTCGATGGGGCCACGAAGCGTGTGATGGTGTGTGCCGAAACAGAGACATGTGGAGGGCTCAGACGATCTGGCAGGAGGGAGGATGGGAGGAGTGGAGGAGGAGGAGGAGAAGGAGGCGGAGAGGAGAGGAGGACGCGGGGCGCTGTCTGTTCAAAACAAAGTCCCAACACCACAGGATGGTTGGGCCAAAGCATGGCGTCGGCGGTCTGCGTATCTCTGCGACATTCCTGGAGGTCCTGGCGTCTCAACTTGGAGCCGGGCGTCTTTGCCAAGCTTCTGGCCCCGGGACCATCACAGGTCGATCCGAATCGAATAACGGCGCAGAGGCATGGGGTCTAGGGCTCTGTTCCTCTCCTCCTCCTCCTCCTCCTCCTCCTCCTCCACCTCCTCTTCCTCCTCCTCCTCCTCCTCCTCTCACTCCTTCTTCCCCTCCTCGTGGTGATCTTCTGCGATGTGTCATTTTAGTTCGCCCAGTGCTGCTTTGGCAGCAACTGCTGGGGGCCTTGTGCTCAGAGATCCGAGGCACCGGAAAATCAGGAGCGGCCCGTTTTTCTCCACTATCCTGTGGTGTTGGGTCCTCTTTTGAAGAGACGGTCCCCGCGTTCCTCTCCTCCTCCTCCTGCTATATGCTCTCCGTATGTTTCTGTTTCGGCACACCCCTCACATGATGAGCTCCATCGAAGGCCCCAGTGGCTGCACTCGCTTGACACCACCGCACCCATTCCGTGGCCCCAAAGGGAGCTCCACTGAAGGCGTCCTTGGCTGCACTCGCATGACACCACCTCGCCCATGTCAGCACGGATCGTGTATTACAAATGCAAATGCAGGGTTTAGTATTGATTCATGCATCAATTTATTCATACATTAATCATGTATTACAAATCCAATATTTTCAAAATCCCATTATACAAAATAAAACAACTGCCCTGCATGTCTTTCTGCGTCCCATGCAGCATCGACAAGAAAAGAGTCCCTAACCCCACGACCACGGCGAAGACGTGACCTCACTGAGGCCCCCGTTTCCGCATGAGGGATAATCGGTCTGGGCGGTCTGCTCTGAGACACCTGATGTGCAGACATGACCCCCCTATCCCTCTTGCTTTTGGTCCTCCTAACTTCGGTCTCTTCCTTGAGGAGGGTTCGGGGCAAGTTCTTTTTTTCTGCTTATCCATCCAGGATTCCCACAGCAGGAACCATCGAGTACAACATCATTGACGACAGGTGGCTACGGACAACGACGTATACATACCGCATAGACCACCCTTCGGGTGATAAGGAGGTGAGGGGGGGGGAGGGACCAACGTCGCGCTCGTTTGATCTCACTATCGAATTCACTACCGATCTCACAATCGATCTCAGTCGATAGATCTCACAATCGATCTGACTATCGATCTCACAATCAATCTCACAATCGATCCCACAATCGATCTCACATTCGGTTTCGCTATTGATCTCACAATCGATATCACAATCGATCTCGCATTCGATCCGACTATCGATCTCGCTATCAAACCCATTATCGATCTCATTATCGATCTCACATTCGGTCTCACTATCGATCTCACTATCGATATCACAATCGATCTCACAATCGATCTCGCATTCGGCCTCACTATCGATCTCTCTAGCGAATTCACGACCGATCTCATTACCGATGTCACTATCGATCTCACTATCGATATCAATATCGAACTCACAATCGATCTCACATTCGGTCTCATCATCGATCTCACTATCGAAATCACTACCGATCTCATTACCGATAGTGATCTCACTACTAACTCAATCGATCGATCTCACAATCGATCTGACGATCGATCTCACAATATAATCCACAATCGATCTCACTATCGATCTCACTATCGATCTCACTATCGATATCAAAATCGATCTCACAATCGATATCCCATTCGGTCTCACAGTCGATTTCACTATCGATCTCATTATCGATCTCACATTCGGTATCACAGTCGATCTCACAATCGATCTCACAAGCGATCTGACATTCGATCTCACGTTCGATCTCACAATCGATATCACTACCGATCTCACTATCGATCATCAAAACAAAACATCAACATCGTCCAGCGGGACACCGGCGGGACACCGCGGGGCCCCGGCCGCCCGGAAGGGAATCATTTCGTCCGGCCGCGCCTCAGCCACACGGGACACCAGCGGGACACCGGCGGGACACCGCGGGGCCCCGGCCGCCCGGAAGGGAGACATTTGGTCCGGCCGCGCCTCAGCCACACGGGCCCCGGCCGCCCGGAAGGGAATCATTTGGTCCGGCCGCGCCTCAGCCACAGGAGACTTTCTCTCGCCCGCCCACGCAGCTTCGCCTCGCCCGCACGCACGGCACGCACGAACACGAAACCGAAATCGATTTCCCGGTAGGGGGGCTCTCCGTTCCACTTCGATCTCACCCCCTCACCTCCGATAGTACATCAGGCATTCGTGTAGGAGTAGGGACGACGGTGTCGATGGCGAATGACGACGGAAGAGGCCCTGAGACCCCCTGGTCCGTGGACCATGGCGGCCGGCCTATAGGGGAGGATCGACGACAACGCAGGTTTTCCCTTAGAAGACTATCCTCGTCGCCCACGTATGGCCGGGAGGGGCTGTCCCGCAGTTGACGACCATCACTTTGTATGCTCCACTCCAATTACACATGTGTACTTCAATTCTTCGCTTGTCAGTGCACATCTCACAGGAATGGTGGTCGTTGGCCAGCGGCCTCTGGCCCTCCCCAGGCCTTTAATTGATTTTGATTGCTGCGCACGGCAGCGAACATCTTAGAATAATGTTGGCCGTTGACGCCACGATGTGTTCCACGTGTGGCCGCCGGGCGCGGGGACTGACATTTCGAGCTCCCCGCCCAAAGAGCCCCCCAGGAGCCCAGATGGCCCCCAGGAGACCCCCAACAGGCCCCCAAGAGGCCCCAAGAGGCCTCGAGAGGCCTCCAGCAAACCCCCCGAAACGTCCAAGAGAGCACTGGGACAGCCCCGACAAGACCCCGGGACGGCTGGAGGCGCCTCGACAAACCCTCACAGCGTCAAACGGACAACGCGGGAACCAACGTAATGCGCGCTGCAGGCATCCTCTTCTTTGCTGTTCTGTTTTCGCGCCCACTTGTCCTCCAAGGTCGGGGTTCGTGGCAATATCAGGTTCTGCTTATCCATCCAGGTTCGGGGGTGGACAGAACCCCCAACAGTGACACGTCGATTAGCGAATCGTCCGTTTTCGGTTCTCGAGAGGGCGCCGCGGCCGTCATTTTCTAGGCCTGCGCCCGCCAGGTTTTGGGCCTCAGGTCGTCTTCACTAAACTACGTTTTGCTGAAGGGGGGTCTGTCCATGCCCGATAGGTGGGCTTCGCCGGCGAGGCCGCCGAGGACGCGGGCGGCCCCCGCCGCGAGTTCTTCAACGAGTTCGGGCGGGCGGCCGCCTCCGCCGCCGGCGCGTGGTCCTCCACGCCCGCCGGCACGCTGCGGCCCTCGCTGTCGCCGGCGGGCGACGCCGCGGCGGCGTTCCGGGGCCGTCCGGGGGCAACGAACCGGTCGGGGGTTGCTTCAGTGAGCTAAAAACGGTATGACATAAATTCTTTACGCTTCGCGTATCCCCACCAGCCCATCTCACAGCAGCAATTCTCGCGAAACATGCCGACAGTTGTGTTTTTTTCAGGCGTGTGTCCGCTTGGCCCCGCATATCTCTCCTGTTCTTCCTTCCTCCCGCCTCCTTGTACATCCTCCTTGTGAGATGAGGCGTTTGGGCACCTCGCCCGCGTGCGAGTTGTTCGGGCCCTTCGTAGTTGGAGTCGTAGTAGTAGTAGTAGTAGTAGTAGTAGTAGTAGTAGTAGTAGTAGTAGTAGTAGTAGTAGTAGTAGTAGTAGTAGTAGTAGTAGTAGTAGTAGTAGTAGTAGTAGTAGTAGTAGTAGTAGTAGTAGTAGTAGTAGTAGTAGTAGTAGTAGTAGTAGTAGTAGTAGTAGTAGTAGTAGTAGTAGTATAGTAGTAGTAGTAGTAGTAGTAGTAGTAGTAGTAGTAGTAGTAGTAGTAGTAGTAGTAGTAGTAGTAGTAGTAGTAGTAGTAGTAGTACTAGTACTAGTAGCTATGTAGTAGTACTAGTAGTAGCAGTAGCAGTGTAGTAGTAGTAGTAGTAGTAGTAAGTAGTAGTAGTAGTAGTAGTAGTTACTAGCAGTAGCAGTGGCAGCCGTCGTCGTAGAAGTAGTAGTGCTCGTAGTAGTACTAGTAGCAGTAGCAGTAGTAGTAGTAGTAGTAGTAGTAGTAGTAGTAGTAGTAGTAGTAGTAGTAGTAGTAGTAGTAGTAGTAGTAGTAGTAGTAGTAAGTAGTAGTAGTAGTAGTAGTAAGTAGTAGTAGTAGTAGTAGTAGTAGTAGTAGTAGTAGTAGTAGTAGTAGTAGTAGTAGTAGTAGTCGTAGTAGTAGTCGTAGTAGTAGTAGTAGTAGTAGTAGTAGTAGTAGTAGTAGTAGTCGTAGTAGTAGTAGTAGTAGTAGTAGTAGTAGCAGTAGTAGTAGTAGTAGTAATAGTAGTAGTAGAAGTCGAATTATTATTATTAGTAGTAGTAATAGTAGTAGTAGCAGTAGTAGTAGTAGTAGTAGTAGTAGTAGCCGTAGTAAAAGTAGTTGTAGTAGTAGTAGTAGTAGTCGTAGTAGTAGTAGTAGTAGTAGTAGTAGTAGTAGTAGTAGTAGTAGTAGTAGTAGTATTAGTATTCGTAGTAGTAGTAGTAGTAGTAGTAGTAGTAGTAGTAGTAGTAGTAGTAGTAGTTGTATCTCCGAACAGCAATCCCAGCGAAGCATGCCGTCAGTCGTTTGGTGCAAGCGTGTGTATGCCTGCTTTTGCATATATCCTCTGCTCCTATTTCCTTTTCCCTCCTTGTACAGCCTCCTGGTGGGGGAGCCGGAGGAGGGCGAGTCGGAGGAGGAGGAGGGAGGGAAGGAGTTGGGAGGCAAGACAGAGGGCGTTCGTCGTCGAGTCCAGCGATTTCTCCCGACCAGCGTCGTCGTTGTTGCCATTCTGGCTCACAGTATTTCAGTGTGGCTGTGAGCTTCGCTCCGCCTACCAGTAATCGCTTCCGCCTAATAGCAACATTTTTGCGGCTGGCATGGAGAACCGCCCGTACGCTTTTGTACTCTTGCTCGCCACGGGGTCTCCTTGGAGCGAGCGTGGAGAATGTCGGTCGTCGGCATTCTCGCACCACCTTGAGCTTCGACGGTGCGGTCGGCGCGCTGCACTTCGGTCCGCATGGCCTGGAACGTGATGGCGAGGCCTACACCGCGAGGGCAGCGAGCGTAGCTCAGCCCACCACGACGACGACGACGACGACGACGACGACAACAGGACGACGACGACGTCGAGACAACGACGACGACGACCGCGACGTCAATGGTGACTTTCCTTGCGAGCGGAACGCACGCGCCCATCGTGCTTTTGGCACGATGTGGTTGCGTTGCGCGACTAGTGCACATGGCCCATCACGGCTACGGGCTCGCCATTTTTTGCTGTGACGCATGCCGCGCCCTCCTCCATTGGCCCCGCTTCCGTGGCAGCAGGTCGTCGTGGCGGCTCACGCTCGGGGACATGCAGGCACGGCGGCCGCCGCGGGATGTCCCAGAAACGCGCCACCCTCGAGGTTTTATAAGCACGATCCAACCACGTTGCGACATTAGGGCATTCACTCCCCCCCCATACATATACACACATACATTCAAAACAGAAGCACTCACAAATCATACACATATACACACAATAACAAAGCACAGAAAGACATGCACTGAATTTGAACCTTGTTCCCCCCCCCTTCCCAAGGGGGTGAGGGGGCCCGCCGTTTTTCCTTTGGGCGTCGATCGGGCCCTGGCGAGGCCTGGCAGTCGAACTTCCAAGTTTCGTCTGCCGCGCTCGTGTGCAGTAGACGCGTCGAGCGTCACGCAGCGTGTTGGCTGAATTGGACCGCCTTGTCTTATGGAAAAACGGAGAAACATTGCAGCGCGCATAAGGCTCTCCGAATCCTTGCAGGAGTAAGGTGTCCTGAGAGGGCTTGCAGGTATTCAAGGGCTCCAGGCTATCTACATGAGTGTCGGCCTATCCCGCCACAGTCTATGTACTGGCTTTCGGCGTATCCTGCCTCAGGATATCCAGGGGCCTGCGGCCTAGCCCGCCACCGTGGCGCAGGGATCCTCGATCTTCAGGGTATACTACTATACAAGGTTGTCTGGCTCAAGCTTCAGATTTGTTCAAGGGTTACCGCGGGGTTTCTAAGTGTATAACGGCTGACAATGGACACTACAGTCCGATGGCGATCCTTGAGTCGCACGTTGTCTTGATTGTTTTGTGTCATGTTGAATCGTGTGCGGTCTTCTCTCAAGTTTTGTGTTAGAGTCAGTAGTCCTAGACGGCGACGACGGCGACGACGACGACGACGACGACCCTGCCTCTCGCTCCGGGCGGCCGTCTTGGCTGCTGGCAGCTGGGCGGCTCTGGGCGGCGTCGGGGCTCCGCTGACTGATTGCTAGATGCATATATGTATATCTGCCCCATGTATTGTGTGTAGACGTATATATATATATATATTTATGTTTAAGTGTATATATATATGTACATATATACATATATATATATCAACTTGTTGAGGTATCATGTTTGCCTGAGCCTCCTGGGAGCAGGAGATTTTGGTCAATGCACGCATGTGACCGGTGACCTTTCCAAGTCGGTTGGAAGGGGCAGAAGGTCACCGGTGTTGTGCAGAGTTGTCATGTTCGCAAGAGCCTCGTGATCCGGTGACTCTTGGCTCAAGTTTCTTTTTCTGACATCTTGGTCTCCGAGTCCGGCCGCGGATGCAAGCCGCCCTCGGCTGGGTCTCCGGCGTCCTGGCGGAACGTTTCTGGAACGGGGGCGGGGAGTCCCGCGCCACCTGCCACTGCGAGTTCTCCGGGCCCGAGCCCGGCAGCGGGGCCCTCGAGGTCCTCCGCGAGCAGCTCGGGCGGTGTGGGCCTGAGCACTTGCAGGCGGTGCCCTGCCCGACGTGCCCGGTCCGCCCTCCCTGCCCGGAGGGGGCGCCCCCCTTCCTCCTCGCGATCCTCGCGGGCGTCGTGGGGTTCACGCTGGGGGTGCTGGTGTCGCTGGGCCGGTGGGTCTGCGCCTCCAGGAGGCCAGCGCTAGACGACGAGGCGCCGGCGAACGAACGGCCGGTCAAGGTCAAGGTCCCGTCTCACCTTCGGGCGCGGCGAGCTCTCTCACTCCGAGGACAGGGCCAGGTAAGGGATGGCTTTGAGACCTGGTGATGTGGTGCTTGTGCGTTACGACGATGACCTTTGGCACGAAAGGCTGATTTTGTTTCACATGCAAGGCGACGAGCATGTGGTGTGCTCTCCAGACTACGACATCTTCGTGGAGCAGTTGGACGCCCAGAACCCGGACCTCACGGGCATCCGATTCCCGGCGGCGCCAGGCGCGGCCGTCATGGGGGTCGACCGGGTGCGCGCGTTCAGCCCCCGGCCGACTGCCTCCCAGCAGCAACAACTCCTCGCGGAGGGACAGCAGGTTGGGGCGGCCGAGCTCACGGCGACAGGGCTCCCGGCCGCGGCGCCACCAGGCGCGCCGGTTGCGGGGGCTGCTGGGGCCGCGCCCGCGGCCGTCTTGCCAGCGGGCAGTGCGGCAGCTGCTGCCGTCGTGCCAGCGGTCGCGGCAGCCCCGCCTCTGGCCGCCCCCGCTGCCGCGGCTGGCGCTGCGGCAGCGGCGCCCGTGGCGCCGGCGGCCGCGGCGCCCGCGGCCGCCGCGGCGGCCCCCGCGGTGCGCAGGATCGCCGGGGTCGGGGGCGCCTGGGTGCTGGACGAGCCCGCCGCCGGCTTCAGCATCGGGTTCGAGGTGCAGGCGCCCGCCGGGATCCACGTCGTCGACTCCCGGGCTTTCCTGGGCTTCAACGGGCGGACGCGCGCCTTCAGGCTCCTGGCGGCGGGGACCGACATCGATCAATATGTGATGCAGCGGCAGACCGAGCTGGCCATCGACAGGCGTGCCATCTCGGTCGACCCGACGGGGAGGCCCCCGCGCCTTCGCGGAGTGCGCCGCTGAGATGATCGAGGACCCTAACGTGAAGTACTCGCTCGCCGGCCCGCGCACTGGCGGCTACCTCGTCGAGAGGACGGCGCGCGGGGGCGGAGGGGGCCTCGTGCATGAGCGCGACAAGTGGGTAGCGGAGTCAGGCGTCAAGCCTCACGACCGCTCGGTGTACGAGCACCAGGTCCTCGCGAAGGCGCTGCAGATCGGCGCGACCGAGGACGGGCTCAACCTCAAGAACCTGGGCATGGCGGAGCTGCTGTTCAGGAGGAAGCAGCTCATCGAGGAGGTGCACGCGGACAACCCGCATAATCCGAGCTGGGACGGCTGGGGGCACTACCTCGGCATCGAGGAGCGCAAGGGCGGCGCTGGCATGGCCCCCTCGCTGCGGCAGCACGTGGCCAGCGAGATGGGCAAGCAGGCCGCTATCGACAAGGAAAAACGCAAAGCACGAGAAGCGAAGAAAGGCGGAAAGTCCGGCAATGACGATTCCGCCAATAAGTCATGAAGAAGAGACGCGGGGCTGGGGATGATATGGTCCGTGGCGGGCCCCAGCCCTCTA